ATAGCCCTAATTTAGTGCTTGGAAGGAAATACTTGTTAAATCTGAAAACACATGAAAATTTGGCCTGGTTATTTCTAGAGCCATGTCGAGTAATGAATTTGCATCCTGGATGGTAAGACCAAAGTCATTGGGAGCAGATAAATCTATATTGTTTTCCAAATATTGTGAAATATACCTCTGGCTTGTGAAAGAGATACATGTGGTTTGGTCTTACTAACTTTACTAAATTTGTCTCTGCCAGAGCAACAAGCAAAATTCCCCAGCACAGCATCAGAGCTAGATGATACAGTTGTTTTAAGAGAAGAGTCACCACGCAATTTTAGGGTCAAATTCTGGGATACATAGTCCATCTTCATACCCAGTGAAAGAAACATGAGCTTTTGCAGGGGTGGGCAGGAAGGGAAGGCAGGGAAGAGTGGATAGAAAAACATGACTGTAAAATATTACTTTTACTTTTGCAGAAAATAAAGGAAACTCAGCCTATAACAGGACATACGGTGTGAGAATTTAAACTTCCCCATTTTTGTTGCTGCATGAGTGGTCTCAGAATAAATAGGCACTGGTGGAACGAGAAACAAGGTCCCAGTCCCCCGCCGGCAGAAGCCCAGGGGCGACCGAGGCTGGGTGGGGGTTCCACAGGGATGCTGCCGGCCCCGCAGCCGAGTCTCGCTGCCCTCCCCCATGCCAGGGAATGCACTTAAAGAACCAGCCGGCCAGACAGCTCTCTCACAGCACGTTTTATTTGCAGCGGGGATTCCAGGGCAGCGCGTGTGTCCCGAGCCCCGGGGTCTGCCTGCCCTGCCGGGGTGCTGGAGACCACGGGCAGGGGCCGGCGGGGCGCTTTGCCTGCAGCCCCAGAGGGAAGCGGCGGTCCGAGGGGCAGTGGGGCTGTCCCCTCGCCCGAGAAGCGTTTGCAGGAGGCGGCCGGGCGCGGGAGGCGGCCCCGGCGGCAGGCGCGGGGTGCAGGCCCTGCGGCCCCTCATAGCGCCTGGTAGGTCCGTCGGGGCAGCGGCGTGCCGGGCGTCTCCGGCCCCGAGTCGATGCTGGCGCTGGGCGAGAGGGAGTCGACGTCGCGGAGGGACAGCCCTGGCTCCTCCGCCGGGGAGAGACGGTCCACGATGCTGGAGAGGCAGTCCAGGCTGGACAGGGCGCTGCTCTGATCGGCGGCGTACCCTGACGGGAACAGGGCAGCGCGTTACCGCGGGGTGCCGCGCTGCCTCCCACAGACGCCCGGGCCCCGCCTCTGCCCCCCAGGCCGCGCCGGGTCCGGTCGGGCTTACCGTGGGCCATCTCGGCGCAGTAGACGGCGTCGAAGCTGCTGCCTCTTGCCGACCAAACGGGGCTGCCACAGTCGGCCTGCAAGACAGCGAGGGGCGAGTGCCGGCCCTGCCGCCCCCGCCCAGAGGCCAGCGGGACGCTCCCCGAAAAGAGAAAGCGCCATAAAGGCCGGCGGGGAGGGAGCGCAGCAGCCGCCCACCCCAGCCCGCCTGCTGGCGCTGGGCAGCGCCTTCCCCATCTCGCCCAGCCCCCAGGCTTCCCCTCCAAGGCCGCGCTAAGAGGGTATCGGGGGGACGGCGAGACCCCGGGGGCTGGGGCGCCTGCAGGGTGCCCTCGGGCAGCGCTACAGCCTCCCGCGCATCCCCGGAAAGCCCACGTGCGTACTCAGCGGAAAATCTGGGAAGGGGCCTGTTCTAAGGCAAACCGCCCGCTTTTCCTGATGTCCGGATGCGTTCTGCCCGTCCCACACCCGTGGGACTGGTCCCACGGCGTTGGGCAGAGATGGACCTGCCCGCAGGCCCTCTGGGGTCCCCACAGCCCCATGGCTCCTGCCTGTGTCTTACCATCCCATCGGAGCAGCTGGAAGTGGGGCTGGTCGGTTCGGAGCAACTCTGTCCGGGCAGGTGATAGTAGTTTTCTACCTGTTCCCTCAAGAGCTCCTGGAGGCTCTCGATGTATCTGATGGCGTTTCTCAGGATCTCTACTTTGGGGAGTCTTTGGTTGGGGTTGGCAGTGGTGCATCTCTTCAGGGTCTCAAAAGCCTGGTTCACTTTCTTCAACCTCCTCCTCTCCCTCATGGTGGCTGCCTTCCGCCGGTCTATTGTGGTGGATTTTCTTTTGCAGGCTTTGCAAGCCCACATGAGGCAGTGACCAGCTTGGTGGTGGCCAGAGGGAGCTCGGACATGCTCCTCTTCCTCGGAGCAGGTGGGCTCGGGGGGCTCGTGGGAGCTGAAAGGAGGCAGATCCCTGGGCTCAAAATCCTCAGGGAACTCGCCCTCTGGGGAGGAGAGGCAGGAGCTGTCATAGAAGAGCTCGGACGGAGAGAACTTGCAGCTGTCCATCACCTCCATCCCTGCTGCGGAGGCGTCAGTGCGGGACGGTGGCCACCGGCTCTCGGCGAGGCGCTCCGCAGCGCGCTGGGGCAATTTCCTTCGTAATTAGCGACCCGAGACCAAGTGTCCTTCGGCTGATGCGGGGGGCCCTTATATATACATGGAAAGGGAGGCTGGTCCGCAGCGGCCAGTCTTTATTAGCATATCCCACCACAGCCCCTGCCGGGAGCTGTCTGGGCAAGCCCCCTCCAGTCTCCAGGAGACAATTTGCTCCGCATCGCTCCTTTGGAGCGCCGAGAGATGGGCACTTTTCTAATGAACGACCTCCCATGGACTGGTTGCGACATCCCCCAATTTCCAACCAAGCCTGTGAATTTGCAGTTTTGTATGGAAAGAAAAAGAAGGGCAATGGACACACACGAACCACTTGTCAGTGGCTCGTACAAGAACCCTTCCTAGTCCCGCTGTTCCCATCACACGTTTCTTCGGGAGGGACACCTACAGCCTCTACTTGCATATCTTTATTTCCCACAGCCCGTGATCCAGGTATAACCTGAAAAATTATAACCTTCTTCTCAGACCTAAGAGGAGCCTTCTTCTCCTTTTTAATTATAACCTTCTCTTTTTAAATGATAACCTTCTTCTCAGACCTATTTATCTCAAGGAGCGCTTTGTTCCAGTAATTAAAGTTGTGCCACCAACAGCTGAAATTTACAAATTGGGGGACAACAATGCACTGGTACTTGTGGCCAGTAGAGACAAGGAGGAGGGAAACCAGATTTTAGTGCTGTCGAATCGGATCACAAGGAAAGGTACTCACAAAAGAAAAGTGTATGTTTTTGCTCAGAGACAAATCCCCTTCCCATTCTTTCTCCTACTCTTCTGACCTGAAGCTGCTAGGGACACAACAGTCAAGCAGTGCCTTGGGCTTGCTAATTTTCTGCTTTCAGGCAAACTTGTACCGTTACAGATGCGTCCCAGCTGCCAGTGCAACAAACCCCTCCTGGAAGTGTAAAATTTCTAACCCCGCAATCCCTAAGTAACTTTACACAAGGGGACAAAAGCCTTGCAGAGCCCCAGCCGAAGCAGTAGCCGAGCGGAGTGGTGCAAGGGTCATTAGAGTGGTAATGAAGCCATTTAACAGGCATTTGCTAACGTGCAGGAATCCTTTGGTTTCATCCAGGTGGCTTTTGTAGCTGAGGAAAATATTATGAGAAGGGAAAGGAAACCTTCCCTACCTGAGAAAAAAATTATGTGACCTAAGCTAACTTAAACGGAGAGCAAATGACCCAGCAGCAGTTCAAACGCTACGGAGCCGGTTTGTGTGCCCAGGAAAAAGGGGCCTTCAGTTAGCCTCCCTTAAGGAAGAGGTAGTGTGGTGGCACGGAGAGCCAGGAGCTCGCTGGATTGTCTCCAGGAGCAGCTGATTAAGTGAGCAAGGCGGGTAGGGAAGTAGCTCCCGAGAGAGATGCTCTGTGGCAGCGCACGCCGCCGGGAAGCCCTGCGATCTGCACGGGCAAGGCGGAGAAAGGCAAGCAGCTCGGCCTGTGCTGGGGATGGAGGGAACCCATCCTTGTTTCTCTGCTACCACCACCCTCGAGCCCCCAAAGGCAGATTTCCACTCTTAGGCTAAATTTTTTTCCTAAAAAGCAACCCTGCACACACCTTCCTACGAAAGGATGCAAAATTCTCTAACAGCTGGGGAAGGCTACATCTGCACTGCTCTGGTTTATTTGGGGCCATAAACACGGGGAGCCCCCTTTGAAATGAATACTCTACGAAAAGCAGGCAGTTGATAAAGGAGTAAAGTTACAGAATGGGAAAGCTCAGAATTTCAGGCTTCTGCCGCTCTGAGGTGCAGGTTGTTGCTTTGTTGGGCCACATCTGAAAAAGGACAGTTCCCTATTGTTTTCCTAAGACAGCATCAGTCAGGAGGGGTTCTGCTCTGCAGTAACTTGAACTCTTCACTGGGCTGTGGCGTGCACACACACAGACATACACAGACACACACACACACAATTTCATTTACCACATTTGCGCTGGCTAAAATAGACCTGTTTACATATTTATGCTTCGTGCACAAATAAACTTGATCTTTAAAGTGCCGGTTGCAGTTCCGATCACCTTTCTGGGTTGGTGCATGCTTGGTTTCTCTCCAAGCATGCACTGTGGATCTCCCGGTGCACAACGCCAAGCCCCTCAGTCCCGCTCTCCCACCATGCAGAGCTTTAGCTCGCAGATTTGACTCAACTCAGCGGAGCTCGGGCTGTTAAGAAACGTGCTTTTCCCCAAAAGTTTTGGAGGAGCTGGAAAAAATTCTTTCCTTTTTCCTTGAATATTTTTGGGGAAATGGAGCCATGGAAGGGCCTGCCACTCAGGAAGAAAAAAAAAAAAAAATAATCTGTAATTAGTATCCCTTAAGGAGCCCCCGGCTCCTCTGGTAAAGTGATCTCAAAACAAATTTGAAAAAATGCAGTAGGCGAGTGGAACTAAAGAAAGGGGGGAGAAAACACGAACTACAAGGCTGGCTAATGAGGCTGCTGGCGAAGGGTGAGGTGGGGGGAGGGAGAGGATAGTGCTGCATTTCAGGAGGCTCAAGTCCGGAAAGCGGGAACAGCCTTAGCATCAGACACTGTCTGCTCCTGTGGACTGGCAGGGAGAAAGTGGTGAATGTGTCAAGATCCCTTTAAATGGTATTCCTCGCCCCAGCCCTCCTCACTCGTCAGGAATCGTCGTGCCGCACCTATTTCCTGGAGGGATTCCATCCCATGTGGGCACCGTTTGCAGAGCGTGCCATCTCTTCCCAAGTCCTACGCCTTTCTATTTAAGAGAAGAGAATCCTACGGAAACCGTAAGTCACCGGACTGAGGGGCTGAGAGGTGTTTGTGGTGCCCCCGAGCGCACCCCCAGCCCCGGCGTTCCGGAGCGCCTTTGCGCTGTGCCCGGCCGGCCTCCACAGAGCGCACACCGGGCCCGGCGCAGGGCGGCCAGAGCTTGTAACTCGGTGCTGCCGCTCCGCTCCGCTCGGCTCCCGCAGCCCGCGGGTACCGGCAGCGGCAGTGAGTCCTCCTCTGTGATGCCCCGAGAGCAAAATTGTTTCCCACTCGGGCTGGTGGGGCCGGGCGCTTCCAGCCGTGTGAGAAACGTTTGGTTCCCCCCAGCGCTGGGAACAGTGAGCACCTAAGTAAACACATTAGTACCTGCCAGAGGGAATTGTATAGAGGACAGCTGAAGAAGGCATTGGCCTCTGCTGGCTCCCCGGGACTCCCAGGAGAGATCAAAGGGACACGAGGGGGTTTTTTAGCAGCCTTGAGACTGGGAAAAGTTGCTAGTTCCTGCTATCGGAGGGACGTCCCAGCGAGCACATGGTTCAATTATTCAACCTCCTCCCTCCCTGCCCCCTACACCCATCCCTAGCTCATTCTCCACAGAAAGATGGAAATTGTAGAAAAATCGTACGGGGTCCCCAAAGCTGCAATGGTCCACCCAGGAATTTTCCCGTGGCGACAATTGTTGTGTCGCCTCTTGATCGCCTTGACTTCGAGCTCAGAGGATGAGCTAAGACTGCTGCTGGCTGTTTGCTTCCCTTCCTGGACTGCGGACGATTTCACCGAGGAAAATAAAGATGCACAATATAAAACCCAAAACAAACCAACCAAAAAACTCCAACAAAATAAAAGAGAAAACCCAAACCAAACAAACAAAAAACAAACCAAAACAAACCACAAAAACCTCAAACTAAAAACAAGGCTTTAAACGCTCGGTCGCGTCCCGTCAGAAGAAGGCGGTGTCAACGCGGCAGCACGGCCGACAAGGCACCTCATTCTCCCCTTCCACTGCCTTCCCCATATCGTTCCCGGCCCCACAGGCACCTCTGGCTCTGCCGCACCGGGATGGGCACCACGCACCGCGGGCCGGCGGAGCCCCGCATGCTCCCGCTCCTGAGGGAGTGAGCAGGTGGTTGGTTCCCAGGAGAACGGAGCAGGTAGAGGAGAGGGAGACTGTGTTGAGCACGGCATTTCCAGCCCGCAGAGGGGAGGAGGGAGCGGCAGGGGCACTTGCATTTGCGTAAAAACTTCTATGACTTTGTGCGTGGTCCCTCCGGAAAAAAACTTCATTAAATCACAAACCTCTCGTCTTTACCCAGTTATTGCCCTTTGATTTTGTGATTCCAGGGCCCTGTTTGCTTTGGCTGGGGACTTAAGTAAAGATTATCGTTATTAATATCTAACACAAACATTTTAATTGCTAACACACTGACGACCTTCAGTGGGAAACCCGGCATGTCAGCTGCAGCCCCGGGGGTCACGGAGAGTCTCTTCGGGAGGTATTTTCTTTATTTAATGAAAAAACTCTCCTTTAGGCAAACTTCTCCAAACAATCGCTCAAGTTACCCTGCTGCTGGAGACGCTGCCGTGGGGGTCCTGCCGGGCGGACGGGTGGCTTCTTGAGATGAATGCCCGGCTGCGGGTAAATCCCCGGGTAAGTAAGTAAGTAAGCCGGCTACCCCGGGGTGGGTGCGACACTGTAGCTTTGGAGGGTGGCCCAGCACGGCTCCTGCCCTGATGCGGGCAGCGGGATCGCCGTGTGAACACTGTGTAGCCCTTTTCGCGGACACGGCGGGGTTTGAAACAAATTAGGAAGGAAGGAGAAGAGCTGCTAGCCCGATGTGAAATACTCTCTTGCTGGACAAGTGCCTTCGCTATAGAAGCGAGCTGCAGCGTCTCCTCTCTTGTGCCAGGTCGCAGAGGTGGCACGCAGGGCCCAGCGCTCCCCCGAGCCGCTTTCTGAAGAATCCGAGAGTTCCCCGAGGCAACGGGTTTAATTTGAAAGGAGAAAAAAACGGGGAAACTTGCATCACCGTGCCCACCACACTATCCCGCCGCAATTACTCCTTGCAAGGGAGTGTCTCATTAGAGGCAATTAGAGCTAGTACATCACTGGTTTAAAAACCCGGCTGGCCACGGCGACATAGAAAGGGTGGTAGGAAGGCATGGCAGATTGGAGAGCCAGCTCTCAGGGCAGGCTCTACCCAGAGCTTCCACTTCAGACGGGTGTACCGGTGCCCCAGATGGCCAGGGAGGGGGAGACCTTCCCAAAGCGCGACTGTGACCTTTCAAAAACTAGAAACAAAGAATAAATCAAGGGCTAAAGTTGACGAGGGGACCGCACGCGGGCAGAGTTGAAGTGTCCTCTGTTTACTTGTGCAGTCTGTCCGGCGACCCCTGTGTGTGCCAGGGGCAGAATGCGCTGTTCCCTGGTGGTCGCCCCTTCCCGGGGGTACAATCTGTTACAAACCGTAACGCGCTGGCTGTGAGCAGCTCCGTTCCACCATCCTCAGAGAGGCTGTGTTTTTTTACATCACTGAGTGAAAGGCTTCATATGCTGTTACCCCCCCACCCCCAAACCCTGTCGGTCCCTTAACTCTTTCCTCCCTGAAGGACCCCATTCCCTTCTCCCTCAGGCTCAAGGAAGTCAAGGGGAGTTACCTTTCCTGGAAAGAAACTACAGCTCCCTCCAACCCCTGAGGGAGCGGGCTTCTGTCACGGCCAGTTGCTGTACCGTTAGTGCAGCAGGCCCGTCATTTTTGCCTCAGACCAGCCCTGCTTTCAAGTCCTCGGTGTCGAGAGGAGAAGGTGAGACACACTGAGCCTCTCCCAGATCAAGGACCGGGGCAGGAGGTCGTGGGGGGACGACGGGCTGGGGTATCTCCTTTCATGCCCCATTTCTAACCTCACCTTCCACGAGCAGGGCAAGGCCGGGGAAGCATCTTGGCCTGTCACGGTTCTCGAGCGGCACTGTTGGACATTTTAGGGGAGCAATATCGCTTTCCAGGGGGACGTGCGTTCCGAAAGCACGGCGAGGAACCGAGCCGCGGAGCACTGCGGGCGGCCGGAGAGGCGGCGGCTCCTGTCCGTATAACACGTGCCCGCCCGGCTTCCCCGACTCCCACGGGGAGATTCACACCGCGGGTGCGGCCCTAAAGGAGGAGAGACGGTCCTTAGAGGAGTCAACGGAGGAAAAATCTGTCCCGTGTCCTGCTTCCAGTCACACGGGTCGTGCTTCTGCTACATGGGTCTGACTCTTCTGGCCTTCGTCTCGCTGAAGTCAGTGGTGGGTTTTAACTCCGGGATCGGGTTATTTTATGAAATGAAGAGGACGGGAGGAAAACACTGTAACACAAAGAGCTTTATTTTACAATCCAAGAAATCCATCTGTTCTTATATACAGTATCACATTCCACCATTTAAATATATATGTTATGTTTACAAAAAAAAAAAGACAGTACTGAAATTATTTACAGGAACAAAACGAGGCGGGAATTCTTTAAATATGACTCACACGCAATGCAACCAAGAGCTTCACTCAGACAGGAATGAACTTCCCGGTGAGTCTCAGACAAAGCGGATCACCGGTACATAGGTAAATATCTTAAATTTAAAAAAAAAAAAAAAGGAAAAAAAGGGTGGTTTATGCAACACAATTTAAAGAAAACAAACCTCGGGAAAAAGAAATGAGAAGGCAAGAAGGAAGTCTGTCTGGCTCGAGTCAGTGGGAGCCATTTTCTTTGGGGTAGGTGTACCTTTGATTGCATCTTAAAAAGGCCCCTGCTTGGGCTTTCCACTGTGTGAATTTGCTTGGTTACTTAGTTTAGAGGAGACAGGGTGGAGGCTCCATCTCCTTTAAATACACTACCACAAACCCGGGTTTATTTCTCCACCGCTTCCTCGGCGCCGGGCAGTTTGGGATCGTCGGAGGAAATACTGTCCACTATTGAAGAGAGGCAGCGAAGGCTGCTGGAGGCAGACGACTCGACAACGGAAACTCCTGCTCAACGAGAGAAAAGGCATTACAGAACAGACCGCTCCTCCTCGCCGGGCCTCGGCTGGGGCTCCCGGCTGCCGGAGAGCCCGGGCAAAGGAGGGAGAGCGAGAGCCGGGCCGCTGGGAACGCGGGGCCCCTTCCCGTCGGGGCTCGGGAAAGGGCTCGGGCCCGGGGGCGGCGGGCCAGCAGGGCCGGCAGGGCGAGTTACCTTCTTTGGGGCTGACTCCTAGGGCTCGGGAATGGTCAGAAACGCTTTGCCAGTCGGAGCTGCAGGTGCTCAGGAAGTCCGAACTGGGGATCTGCGGCACACAGGCGGGAGCGGGGGACACGGGGAGAGGACGGGTGTTAGTGGGGCGGCAGCGGCTCCCCCGGCCGGACCGGGCCGACGGACCTCTGGAGGCCCGAGGACTGGCAGGTTCCCCGAGGAGCGCCCTCGGCTCCCGCCAACCCTCTCGGCCCCCGCAGCGGCCCTGCCGAAGAGGAGGAGGAGGAGGGAGGGGACGGGCGCGGAGGCGCTGCCGTGGCGGCCGAGGGGCCAAGCGGCAGTGCTTACATTTCCCTGCTTGGGGCTGAAGCTGAAGGGGTCCCCCCCGATCTCCTGCATTTTCTCCTGCTGATCCAGCCTGTGCAAGAGGTCCTGCAGCCTCTCGATGTAGCTGATGGCGCTCCTCAGTATCTCCACCTTGGGCAGCCTCTGGTTGGGGTTCGCCACAGTCCGCCTTTTCAGAGCCTCGAAAGCTTCGTTGATCTTCTTCAGCCTTCTCCTCTCCCGCAGGGTGGCTGCTTTCCGCCTGTCCGTGGGGGCCGACTTTCTCTTGCAAGTTTTACAAGCCCAGATCAAACACTGGCCGGGGAAGTGAGGGGGTTGTAGTCCCGGGGGTGCCAGCACATGCTCCTCTCCGCTGCTGTCACTGCCGGCCTCTGGCTGCATTTGGTCCTGACACGGAGACAAGGTGCCATCGCTGCCTGGGTATAGCGGGGATCCCTCAGCCATCTCCAGCTGCTGTAGGGCTCCATTCTCCCCGTCCAAGTAGAAGAAATAGGAGCCAGTTTCAAAAAGGTCCATCATGCTGTCCCTGGGCCTCTCTGCCTGCTTGAGTTGGGTGGCAATCTCAAAAACACCCCGAGGAACAACCCAGATGGAATTTAATTAGTGCAGTGACATAAGTCCCCCCCTGCTTTATATAGGAGCTGCTGAAACCCTATCCAACTTTTAGCTGTCGCGGTGTATCACCCTCCAAAACTGATTCCAGCCAGTCTCCCGGGCGCTGTCCTGAGAACATCTCCCATTTAGAAGGGGGAGGGGGGACACAAGAGGTGGGAGACAAATTGGAAAAAAAAATTAAAATAAAAAAAAATTTAAAAAAACAACAAAAAAAAAGACAAGCGGAAAAAAAAGTACAACCCCCCCCTCCCCCGAAATGCCGTGAGTTGGGGACGCAGCGAAGGGACGCGAGCTGTGGGATCGGGAGCGCTGGGCGGCCCGGCCCCGCTGCCGAGCCCTCGGGGACACGGCTGGAGGACAAAGGCGCGGGGAGCCCTCCCCCAGCCCACCCCTCACACCCCCGGAGTACGCTCCCTGCCCGGGGCTAAGGAGAGATTTCAAAGGCAGCCATCGCTTTCCAAATAGACGGGTTAATATTTTCAGTAGAAGCCCCTGCTATCTCCACCCCCCGCCACCTTCCCCTTGCAGCATGCCATTCCTGTGACCCAAGCCACCCGGGCCAGCCCAAGGTTAGGAGCCAAGCTCGCTGTTCCTCTGCACACGTGGGGAAGGTTGCCAAGGCAGAGCTGTGCTGCGATGATGAGGCACCCACAGATAGTGCACCTCGGCTCAGCCTTTCAGTGTGAACTTTCCCACGTTGCCCATGAGGTGACAGGAGTGTTTCCAGGTGACTGGGTTACAGTGTGATGGGGCTCTCTGGACAGCCCTTGTCCTTGTCGCTGTTTAGGGCAAGCAAAGCCCAGGCATATGGTGTAACTGAAGTTTAATCCCTCCGGCCTGGCAGGGTATAGAGAGCTTCCTAGACGCAGAGACAGAAATGGAGCTTGTGAGCACTCCCTGTTAGCTTATACTGTAATGTCACATCATGTCTGGAACTGTCTCACATAAAGAAAGAGGATTGGGAAAATGGCCTCTTTGCCTATTTTCCTGCACTGCCTTGTGTTCTTTCAATATAATGTCTTTATGTGTATATAAATATATATATAATATAAATATATAATATATAAAGTATATATTTATGTATTATATACAAAAATATGTATCTTTTATATATTATAAATATATGTATATATAAATCTATATATGTGTATATATGTATATATGGTATATATATATGTGTGTGTGTATATATGTATATATGCATGTGTCTATAATTATATGCCCACACTATATGCCCACACACATATGCATATATATTTATATTTATGTGGATAAGTAAGTATATTCCTGTGTATTTTTGTATATACACATGTGTAAGCTTTTTATAGAAACAATAATACATGAAGCACCTGAAATGAACAATATCACCACACTTCAGAAAGCTGAAGTTTGGAGCTCTCAAACATAGCTCCAAACTTCAGCTTTCTGAAGTGTGGTGATATTGTTCATTTCTCTAAAGCTACAATGAAATTAATCACTGACTTGACTGTTTCTCCAAAACTGCAAACCAAATTTTTGGAGTACAAAAATCTTTAACACTAGGAGTAGTTGTGGTTTTATTTTCACCACATTGGTGTTGTTGGAGTGGATCTTGTTTCAGCTTTAATGAGGCAGAACAATAGCCAGTTTTGGATGAGACAGAGAAATTCAGACTGTTCTCAGTGAAACTAATTTTGATACTATTCCACCACTGAGGTTTTTTCCCTCTTCAGATTAAAGAAAGGGCAGTCTGGCAGTTAAAGCATTGCACATAAGAAACAGTTTCTCAGTTTCCATGTTTTGCAGCTTGCTTTCTGTTTGACCTTTGACCAGTCACTTACTTTTCCTGTGATTTAATTTTGACCTTTACGCATCCGTTGTGTCTCTGATTTAATTTGCTGACTATCCATGGAAAAACTACCCCTCTACATGCTTTTGGGTATAAAAGGGGTCCTTGTCCCATAACATTAGTAATGGTCATAATAGAAAAATCCCCAAAAAACCAAACAAACACAAACACCCCCCCCCAAAAACAAACAAAAATATCACAAATTCCACAAACCAAAAGTGCACTGATTGTTTAAATTTTTTTCACATTTACTAGGCTCATTTTTTAAATTTTAATATTTTGTTTCTTCAATACCACCACGGGAATATTTGGAACAAGACAGATGAGATCAGTCTACTGGTAAGGTGCACAAATGAAAATTTAGTTTAAGGGAGAGAGATAATTACCAAATTGTTGTTGTCCTTTCAAGAGCTTTATGTGGACTCAGTGAGCTGGGAAACTGTAAGTTTAGGAGCCAGATGCTCCTGCTGCTTTCAACAGATTTTTTTTTTTAACAGGAAACAGAATATGTTCTTTCTTTCCAGCACTTAGTGACAGAGTAAACAAATTCAGCTCCTCACAGTGATGTGGGCACAGCATAATTAGTCCTTTGTAGGACTAACTGATAGGAGCAAAGCTTCTAACAACTGTAAATAAATTTTAATTTGAATGAAAATTATAAGTTTCCCCATCATATAAAAAACTTGAATTCTGGTGCATCTTTCACTCTAACACCTTGGTTTATGTTACACAGCGAGCAAATAGGCCTAGAACATATAAATAAAATATCCTCAGAGATGTTCTCCATTACAAAATTGAATCAAATGAAGGATTGAAAAGTTGGTACTGGCCATTTTTCTCTTCATGCTTTGTATTCCTGATCTTGTTAGATATATGCACAAAGACATAAGAGGAAATAAAAGCATGTGAATAAGAACAATTGGACATAGAATTGAAAGGAGGATCACTACTGAAGTATGCTTGTAATTTCAGTCAGCCTGGTAGAACCTCACAGAAAATCTTACCCTAAAGCCAGTTCTTTATTCAATTGTTCGTGCTTCCATGCACCGTCGCTTTACTGAAAATATATTTTCAGCATATTTATACAAGTAAAACTCTGATGTGTTGTATTTGGACTAGAAGGTCTGTTATCCTTACCAAAGAAGTGTTTCAGAAAGTCATTGAGTTGTAGATTCAATGAGTGGTCAGGATGACCAAATACAAGAGAGCTGCACTGCATTTTAAGCCACAGCTGTCCTCCAGGAGTTAGATCCCTCCAAATTCATATGTATGCCATATACAAATTTCTGGATGACTGTGGTTGAATAATAAGCCTGGAACTGCCTGGGTCACTCTTGACACCTTAAGATTTAAGCAGAAATTTAGTCCAGAATTTTTAAGTATTTTGTCAGCTGGGACTCAACACTTTATACCATTCCAAATATCTCCTTTTTCTCCTTCACTGTTCTCGCGATTCTTCCAGC